TAGCGGAATACAACCACATTTAAACTCCATCTAATTTAACGAAAACAATAAGATAATTAATTAGGCCATTTTTTAAAATAAAGTTCTCTGAAGGTTAACTACAGAATTTACAGTACACTGTGTGTTATAGGTTGTAAAAACTTTATTTGGTTAAAAATATATTTTGAAATTGTTCAATTTTTTTTAATGGAGATATAATCAAAATTATATTCAAATTTTAAGTCTGAGTGTGTAATTTCCCGCCATCTAGAGGTGTCATAATCACAAATTTTCTTACATCAGCCCCAACCATGGTGGGGCTCAGGTGGTATAGATCCTCCATCTGCTAAAGTACCCGGGTGGCGAATTCCAGGGGACCCATCCAGCCTGCCCCTGCCCCTAAATTGTTCCACAAAAAATTGGAGATATAAAGATGATTATATTCAAATTTTATGTGTGGAAGTGCAATTTTCGGCCATAATCACAAATTTTCTTACCTCACCCAACCATGGTGGGGCTGAGGTAGTATAGATCTTCTATCTGTGTAAGTACCCTCCCTGGGCCCTTCTATTTCCAATTCCTGGATCTGCCACTGGAAATTACAACAAAGATGAGGTCATATTACAGTAGCTTGATGCCTATAAAATAACTTATAAAATTCACCAAACTTCGTAAAATATCCGTAGTGGCTTCCAGGGGCTTCGACCCCCCACCGGGGGCCCTTGGCGCCCCCCTCACCGGGGGCCCTTGGCGCCCCCCTGGCCTCCAGCCTAGATGCTCGCTTCGCTTGCATATTGGACCTTATGAAATGCCCCTCCCCCGCCCCCCACCCACATTCAAAAATGTTCCTTACTAGCAAGCCCCCACACACGTCCATACGGCAGTTATACTTAACTTAATTAGTTTTTCGGTCATTTTGTCCTTGATCTTTGACCCTGATCCTTCAAAGTTTAATCACTTCCAGATCTTTGGTAAAGGAACATTGTGGCCAAGTTTGACAAATATCTGATAAAAGCTGTTCCAAAAAAATCGTTTTTTATTAATTTATTAATTGTGACTTTGATCTTTAACCATTACCCTTCAACATTCAAATACCTGTCTCTTATACACATCTAGATGTGTATAAGAGACAGGTATTGAGGCTTGTTTCTCAATATAGTGCCGAGCGAGTTTCCATACGGCAGACAGTTATACTTAACTTAATTAGTTTTTCGGTCATTTTGTCCTTGATCTTTGACCCTGATCCTTCAAAGTTTAATCACTTCCAGATCTTTGGTAAAGGAACATTGTGGCCAAGTTTTACAAATATCTGATAAAAGCTGTTCCAAAAAAATCGTTTTTTATTAATTTATTAATTGTGACTTTGATCTTTAACCATTACCCTTCAACATTCAAATACTTTGTGATTTTTGGTCATGGAACATATGTGACAAGCTCCTGATTAAAACTATAGGCTGCAGACAAATAAAAAGAATAGTTTTTTGTTGATTGTGACTTTGACGTTTGACCCTGATCTTTCAAAATTGAATGACACTCTCAGACTTAAATTTTAGAATATAATTTTCCCTTTTCCACGTTTTTGTATAATTTGGAAAAATTAGGACCTCCCTTTGAATCCCCCCCCCCCACCGATCTGTAGTGGTTATCACTTTGTTAAAAAATTTAATTTTATATATTACTGCACATAGTGATGCCAGTCGGCACTGACTTCCATAAAGCAATTGATAATAAAATATTTAAACTACAAATATTATGAATTTGCGGGAGATGGGTTATTTCCGGGAGATTCTTGACAAAAAATTAAAACACACAAAAAAAAAAGATCATAAAAGTACCTATTGATATCTTTTTTTTTTCAGAGTTTACTAAAAGTCTTAAGAGTATTTGATGTTTTCAGTTTACTATCAATATTGTTCCATACATGCGGGCCATGGACCCAAATTGAGAATTGGCTTTTAGTCAGCCTAACAAACGGAATACGAAGCCTATTACACTGTCTTGTCCGATAGTTATGAACATTACCTTTGTACTGAAATAGATCCTTAAATACATTTGGTAACATTTCATGGGTGTGTTTATACATAAAACATCCTACTTGTACCTTATTAATGTCATAAATGTTCAAAAGATTATGTTGATGAAATAGTGGTTCTGCATTGCACCTATATGGTGATGATGTAATAATACGAATAATTCGTTTTTGGAGGTTATATAGTTTAACAAGGTTTGAGGGATAGTCATTTTATATAATATTACCATACTGGAGGTAAGGCAAAATTAAGGTATTGTAAAGAGCGAGTAAAATATCCGTAGGGAAAAACTGTTTGACCCTGCCAATTACTCCTATCGATTTAGAAATTTTTCTTGCAACGAAGTCAATATGAATTTTCCAGTTAATATGTTCATTTAAAATTATTATTATTATTGTCAATTTCAGGGCATTTCTTCTGAGTTGGACGGAAAATTACATAGTTGGTTTTGGCAATATTTAACAATAGTTTGTTAATGCTGAGCCAATCAGATACCTTTACTAGTTCATGGTTTATATCAGTTAACAACTTATCAAGATTATCTCCTGATAGGAAAACAGTAGTATCATCAGCGAAAGACACCGTTTTAAGTACATTACTAACCAAATGAATGTCGTTAATATAAATTAGAGACAGCAAAGGGCCTAATACTGACCCTTGTGGTACGCCACATGTTATGCATGAAAGATTTGATTCATTTGAGTTAACGATGACGTATTGTTTCCTACAACTTAAGTAACTAGAAGAACCAATGTAAAGCAATGCCTCTGATTCCATAGTAATGTAGCTTTTTAAGCAAAATATCATGATCAATAACATCAAAGGCCTTAGAAAGGTCCATAAACACACTGATTAAGAATTTCTTCTTTTCAAATCCCGCCGTAATGTTGATGTCGAATGGTTTTCACGAAACCCAAATTGGTGATCGTTGAGGATAGTGCATTTATCTAAAAATGAGTATAATTTGGAATACATAATTTTTTCAAGTATTTTAGAAAATATTGGTAAGATAGATATGGGTCGATAATTTGTGAAATCTTCACGTTTACCTTTTTTGAAAATTGGCAATACTTTAGCAACTTTCAGGTTATCAGGTACGATACCTTTTATAAACGACTGATTGATAATATAAGTCAGTGGTTTTAAAATGGATAATGCAGAGCCTTTGACCACTTTTGACGTTATGTTGTCAAAACCCGAACATTTGTTGGGATCTAGATTTCGTATAACATCAAGAACATCTTGTTCTACAACAGGTGTTAAAAAGAATGAGTGGCAGTTGTCTCTTATACACATCTTTTTTTTGGAGTCAAAAATTATAAAATAACAAAAATATACAGTTAAACTTGGATAAAATCGACTTCGTCTAACTTGAATAATTTCTTAAGACAAACATGTTTTCCATTAACAATCTGAAAGTCAAATTTTCAGTGGCATTTTGGATTCGACTTGGGCAAGTTCAACTCTACATAAATACGGTACAACTGATTGGTCTATATCAATCAATCAAACAATGTGACATTTATTTCACCATGAGCAACAGAAAAAAGAAAACATACAATACTATGGCGAGGGACCAGTTTAGAAGCCTAGGCTAGTCTTCACGGTCCCTTTTAATAGATACAAAGACAAAAAATTAAAACACACATAAAAGAAAAAAGATAAAAGTACCTATTAAAATCCTTTTTTTCAGAGTTTACTAAAAGTCTTATGAGTATTTGGTGTTTTTAGTTTAGTACTATCAATATTGTTATATACGTACATTTTGATAATTTGAGATGATTTCCTTTTTTGAGGAGTTTACTAAAAGCCTTAAGAGTATTTGATGTTTTTAGTTTACTATCAATATTGTTCCATACATGCGGGCCATGGACACAAATTGAGAATTGGCTTTTAGTCAGCCTAACAAACGGAATACGAAGCCTATTACACTGTCTTGTCCGATAGTTATGAACACTACCTTTGTACTGAAATAGATCCTTAAATACATTTGGTAACATTTCATGGGTGTGTTTATACATAAAACATCCTACTTG